GAGAGAGAGAGAGAGAGAGAGAAAATAAACGATTTTATTGAAAAATTTCGTTGTGCTGCTACCTGCTGGTAGTCTGCCGTTTAGGCACAGCATACTGATTAGTCCATAAAGACATTAAAAAAAATAAAATCAATGATACAAAAAAGAAAAAAAAACAAAAATAAAAAACAAAAGAACAAAAGAAATTAATTTAAAAAAAAAATTAAGTTAAAAAAAAAAAAAAGAAATTAAATTAAATCGTCAATTCGAAGCGTAGATGTGGTGATGTATCATTTTTATTGAGTCAATCACAACCGATTCGGCCATGCCAACCAGGTGGCTTTCGTCGATGCCAAATCTGCTGAAAAATGATACAACTTGGGTCGAGATGGTACCCCTTGCTCCGAACCAAAGTCCATAAATCTCTATATTATCAATTGGATATTGTTGGAAGCTTCTTTTTAGATCGTCCGAGCATCCGGAGTAGATTGCTTCCTTCTCGGCCTGGACGATCCGACCGACGTCCTCATTGGACTCGAAACGTATAGTCGGATCGATTATATATGTTGATCCTGATCTTGGATCATGTGCTAGGATATCCACCCGCCTATTCGAGCCGACATTATCGGTACATGTTACCTCTATGTGACAGGTGATATTTTTTTCTCTAAGCACATCCACCAATTTATTTTTGATCTTGTCGTGTCGTTGGATCCGTCTGAGTTCACCAAACGGACAAGCACCCAATACATGCGATGGTGTTTCTCTCTCTCTACCGCATCTGCGGCAGAGGATGGATGCTTGTCCGCTTGATGAACCAGGAACTCCATTCAGATTGGCATAATTTACGTTCAGCTTAAGAGCAGCTGTCCATTCGGACGCCGATAAAATGCTCTTTTTGTATAAAGCCGAATTCGAACGAGGCTGGTTGCTGAAGTGTTTTACCCCGATGCCTTGATAGTCTAATGCAGCCCAGTTATTGAAAGCTTTTTCACGTAATTGGGCGCGTAGTTGTTTTGAAGAATTGCCATCGACCTGTAAGCTTGATTTACACGAATCGATTTCGTTTTGGCAATCAACGACTGCATGAAAAAGCTGATCAGGCACTTCAATCAATTTTAGAGAGATGGAAATATGCTGTAAGTATATTTCCCACGATAAGTTCATAATTCCAAGCCCTCTGAATTTTTTTGGTGAATAGATCATGTCGCTGGAGGTTGAAGTAGGTAAACCAATTATGGCTTTGACTGTAGTTCGGATTGTGAGATCAAGACCTTCAACATAGCGAGTTGGAATTTTATTTAATGGTGCAGATTGGACCGGGTATATCAACATCGGTAATAGATACTGGTTTAGAATGCTAAGTTTCTGGTTTTTCTTTAGTAGTGGTGACGAAATTAATTGGTTGCAACTATTGGTAAATTTGGTCATAATTGATTCATCAAAAACCAATTCATCTTTAAATGTGCATCCCAAATATCGTATGACTTCGTTGTGATTAATGCATTTGATTTTGGCTTGACCGGTTAATTCTAGTGCTCCAGGAACCAGTTCGCCATTTTGAACAATAATACCGATACTTTTCTTTGGATTAATTTCGAGACCAATTTTTTCAAATTGTGTCTGAACTACGTCAATAATACGTAAGGCGCCTAAAGTTGAGTTAGAGCTCACTGCTTGATCATCAGCAAAACCAGTAAGAGCCAGAGCGTCCAGGTTTGCAGAGAAATTGTATCCATTTTTTTTAGCGAACGAAGCGTCGCAAGCTTCTTGGTATACGTGGTTTATCGCCATGTTGAATAAAATAGGTGATAATGGTCCGCCTTGCGGTACCGATTTGTTTACTTTAATTGCATTGGAGTGGTTTGTCCCCAATTCGATTTTGATCATATTGTTCTTAAGCATTGTCATGATTAATCTATGAAGATTCATTGAGATACCTTGTGCTTTGAGACATTTATCGATATGGTTGTGGCCCACTCGGTCGAATGCTTTCGATATATCTAGGAAAGCCACTGTACAATCCGATTTATTCTTTTTGGCATGTGATAAACATGCATTGACTAGTCTAGTATTTAGTTGGCAGCCGGGCAAGCCGCTTATGAAGCCTCTCTGGTTATAATCTAGATCCAATTGATCTCTGATTTTCTTGTCCAGAATTCTTTCGATGATTCTTCTTAAGACCGGATATATTGTAATTGGTCTCCAATTACCTATGCTGGATTGATCTCCACCTTTGTGGATCAGAATCGTTTTACCAGTTTGCAATATTTTTGGGAACGTACCAGTTGCCAATGAGATTTCTACCATTAGTTTGATGATCCCAGCAATTTTCAATTCACGTATGGTACGTACTAAGACTCTATCCGGTCCGGGAGCTGAATCAATGTTAGTAGATTTTATAGCTAGTTCCACATCATCAATCGAGATCATAATATCATCATGAGCGATCCTTGTTGGATAGAAATCAAGTGTTCTATCGTTCGGTATTTCCAATAATTGTCTAAAGTGATTCTCTAAATCAGCAATTGGGATTAGACATTTTGCATTGCTATTTTCTTTTCCTAGTACTTTTCGGGCCACTACTTTCCTTCGATTATAATAATGATATTGTGCCAGTTCGTATTCATATTGAGATTGTCGATGTTTACGAGCTCTTTGGTCTCGTCGCTGTGGATTTGAACAACTGCTATGCTTAATTGAGTCGGATTGATTCTTTTTCCTTTTAGCCTTTCGCAAACGATACATTTTTACTGCTGGATGCATCGGACCAGGTAGACGTGCATTAGCTTCATCCAGAAATTTAGTAAATTGTGAAACCAGAGAATCATAATCATCTATGTTGAAATTGTTTAAATTGTGGAACATTTGTTGAAACCGATTAAAGAAGGCATTTACTTCCGATGAGATATGGCTCATATTATTGTCGCTATTTTGTTGGTTTCGATTGTCGTATGATGAATTGGTAGTTTGACTTGTCGATGGAACCAGAATATCCATTCTACGAGTGTTGGATTCAATCGGATGGGAAGCAAAATGTGCTCGAAGTGCAGAATTGGAATTGAAAGATCTCGAGCAAACTGAGCATTGAATAAGATTAGGAGTGATATCAGTAGAATCTCGTTGTTGGTAAAATTGTGCTTCCGGAGAATTGATATTATGGACTATAGATGGGTGGGAACTTTCTTCTGCAGAAACAAAATTCAAATTATTGCTGGTTCCCGCCAACATATTTGGAGTAGTAGTATTTATTGTAGTAGCAGTAGCATTGTTTATATTAATCAGCTGATTGTCAGAAACATTCGACGTTGCAGTTTTTTGAAAATTTGAATTACGAACTGATTGACTATTGTGTAGCGTCGTTGACGATGACGTACCACATTTACGCTCATTTTTAAGGTAATCGTTCCATTCTATATGTGATTTAGCAATATGAAACCTCAGACCTGATGGTTTTAAGAATGTCTTCGAGCAAATGTAGCATCTGGTTTCGTTAGAAATATCGTTGAGCCCAGGAAAGGGCATTTTACTCGATTGTAAATCGATCCAGTTCCAGAGATAAAAGGATTCAGCAACAATACCAAAACAAAAAAAAAAAAAAAAAAAAAAAAAAAAAAAAAAAAAAAAAAA